GGGGAAGAGAAATCCATGGTTTGTTGCCTTTGCCAATAACAAAAACGTTGGAGAGCCGGGTGGCAAAGCTGTTGCCATGGGCATCTTTCACATGAACCACGTCAAAAGAGCCAGGATGTCTCTCTCTGTTGGTAATCACACCAATTCTTCCCAAGTTAGCACCTCCGGTCACCATACACAGGTTACCAGTGTCAAACTTATTGAAGTCAGTAATCTTGCCAGTCTCCAAATCAATCTGAATGGTATCATTCACCTTGATTAGGGGATCAGGGTATCGAATGGTTCGAGCATCATGAGTCACCAGATGAGGGATTCCTTTTGTGCCCACAAATATCTTTCTCACTTTGCACAACTTGTACTTGGCCTCCTCAGGTGTAATGCGATGAACAGCAAAACGACCCTTGGTGTCATAGATCAGACGGAAATTCTCTCCAGTCTTATCAATGCTGATGACATCCATAAAACCGGCAGGGTAGGTGATATCGGTTCGGACTTTCCCATCAATCTTGATGAAGCGTTGCATGCAAATCTTTTTTACTTCATCTCCTGTCAGGGCATACTTAAGTCTGTTCCTTAGAAAAATGATGAGAGGAAGACATTCTCTCAGCTTGTGGGGACCAGTGGATGGACGAGGAGCAAACACACCAGTCAACTTATCCAGCATCCAGTGTTTTGGAGCTGCTACCCGCTTCAGATGCTTCTTGGGACCACGAGCCATGGCTGCTCTAGGCACGGAAAGAGCCCAGCTCTCTTTAAAATTGTCCAATTTTGCTATCCTGTATTTAGAAGCAGTGTTTTACTATCTATCCTGAGAACTCTTWCAAACTGAGGTCTTGGAATTATTCTACCTGAAGACTTCCATGTTTCTTTTATTCTTCAAAATATATTATTAAATTCCTTTGAATAACAAGCAAATATTAAAAGAAAAATCGAGTAGTCAAGATATTGTTTAAAAATGGTAACTGCTGGGCTGCGGTTGTGGCTCAGCAGTAGAGCRCTTGCCTCGCTGGGTTTGACCCTCAGCACCACATAGAAATAAATAAATAAAATAGAGGTATTGTGTCCTTCTAAAACTAAAAGATATATATTTTTTAAAAATGGTAACTGCCGACGTAAGGAACTTGAATATTAGAACAGATTGCACTAGAGGAGGATCATGAGCAGACCAGACCAACCCATCTCCCTGTAGGGCATCAGGATGTAATAAAAAGCTAACTTCCAGATAGCAGGGATGCCAACATGAAAGGTGAAAGCAGAGGGGGCAAGCATTTGGGGAAAGCTGATAATGACTGAAAATTCTTAAAACTTGCAGACACAAAGCAAGTCACAAAGGGCCAAAGATGGACTTCTCCATAGTGCCCCTGGAATCCTGCAGACAGCAGGGAGACTCTAGAGACCCAAGGAGGGTCGCCAAACGGGTCTGCACAAGATGTAAAGAGGGGTAGTTCCTGCCTCTGAGAGACACTGCCATGGTTTGGACATGGTTTCTCCCCCAGAACTCACACAGAAGCTCGATCCTCCAAATTTTATGCTATTGTTAGTAAGAGGGTTAAACCTTAATCCAACTGTGGTGACCTTCTAAGGAGGGGGAAAGAGACCACACAGAGAGACACATGGGCTCCTACCATGATGGAGCGAGTACCTCAAAAGAGCCCAAGCCATGTTGTTGGAACCTTGTGCCTCCAGAACTATAAGCCAAAATAAATCTTTTTTTTCTTTATAAAATAGCCTGCCTCCAGTACCTCTTTATAGTAACTAAAAGCTGGAGAAGAGAAAGGAAAGAAGTGGGGATAGAAGGTAATAGTGGACAGTGAGAAGGTCTGAGGCTCAAGACTATGCAATAGATGCAGCCAGAAGAAATCTCCCAGGAGGGAAATAATCAAAGAATCTGCAAAGGCAATTTTCAAAATTTGATTTAAGGCAATATACCTGGCTAGAATGTAAACTTCTCTTCCATGCATTTCCCAGCTTCCCACAGGATGGTAATGAAATATTTCACTCTTCTGAATGTGTTTTATGAGAGAGAGACAAAAATAAATAAATAATTTGTGGAAGAGGCTGAGTGTAATATTTGGGATTGGACCAGAGGTGCCCTGATGAAACAAGGAATCTGGAGACAGAAGGTGAGCCAAAGGAGATGAGCCCCCAGGAATTTGTAGAAACCTTGGAAGACAGAGGAGGTTGGTTGGACTTGCACAAAATTCTGAGCCAAGCCCATCTGGATGGGCAGGGCCTGGGAGACTCCATTCCAGCCGACATCTGGGTTCCCCAGCACTCCGCGTCCAGGACAAAGGCACTCTCTCCAGGGCAGCCTCTGCACCGGGGCTCTTCCCAGATGGTCCCTCTGACAAATGCTTCTCTACCTCTGGGTTCTCAGACCTGACTCAGTTTCCCGTATTCCTCCTCCTCTCATCCCCATTAGCAGGTCCTGATTCCCTCCTCTGGAGAATCCCCACATGTCCCACCAGCTCCCTAAGCATATCTCTTCTGATTTCCCCAGGCCACTGACTCACAGGGGCATCTCTACTACACACATAGTTTCACTTTAAGTTTCCACAGTTACCCTGAACTCCAGGGGCCTGAACATCTATCTGCAAGTCCTTCATGAATTTAGAAAGAAGGGAGACTTTGTTGTCGTGTTTTGCAAAACTTTCCAAACTTTTTCCGTAAAATTTAATAGCCATTTTAGATTCTGCAGGCCATCTGACCTCTGTTACAGCTATTCAGTTCTGCCGTTATGGCCTGAAAGTGACCATGCACAATATATAAACCAATGGACATGGGTGAGCACCAGTAACGTTAGATTTGCAAAAGGCTGGATTTAGTCCACAGGTCTTTGTTTGCTAACTCCCATTCTAAACAAGCATTTGACAAAGCGAATACCAGCCCCCTACAACGTGAAGTACAGTGAAGGCCTATGGGCAGCTGAATCTGGCTACCATCAGCCTGATCTTCCCGTGGAGGCCCAAATCTTTCCCCAAGCTTTTGTGGACTTTGAGTTTTCTTGAGGTGATTTTTCACTCTGAGATTCTGCTTTTGCATGGGCTGCCTCTGCTCTGTATAAGCTCCACCCTGACTTATGCACAGAAACCATTTACTGATTTATGCTCTCCCAAAGCTATTTGCACTACATTTCTGTGAGTGTATTCATGGGTGGGGGCTATCAAAACAAAACACCAAGAGCTGCTTGGCTAACACGACAGAAGTGTGTGTTCCCAGCATTCTAGGAGCTGAAGGTGCAGGGATCAGCAGCTTTGAGGTCTTGCTCCTGGGTGTGGAGACGCCATCTTCTCCCTGTGTTAGACCAGGATGCAAGAAAAGACCACTGACTCCAATTAAAATCAAATTAAAGCAAGCTTATTATTTTGACCCACCAGGCTGCCTCTCCCACCAAAAAACAAGACAGCAGCTGCAGCTTTCCTGCAGCCCAGCTTATAGCCCAGAAAGTGACACAAAGCKGGGTTACAGATAACAAAACTCTGACAAGCATCACACAAAGGCTAGTGTACATTTTTGCTGGCCCCGACGTCAGAATTTATGAAGGTCATTAGAGCCTCAGAAAGGGTTGGTATGTGGCCAGGGAAGGCCAAGATTGATAAGGCATCACTAAAGTTTCACAGAGGGCTGCTATCTGGTCAGAAAGCCAGGAATGGGTGAGTTCAAGGCACGGGCAGGCATTCCAGCAAGTTCAGAATTTGCAGTCATTGATAGTAAAGCCGAAATTGGCTTTTCATGGCTTTGTGGCAAAATGGCTCCCAATTTTAAGAGAAAAATCAGGCTGGGTCTATCACCTGTACCTTCCCCTAGTTGCTCTGCTGTGTGTTTCTTCATTCTGTTCTCTTCTTAGAAGAACACCGGCTGTGTTGGACTTGGAGTCCACCCGAAGGACTTCATTTTAATTTAATTACCTGTTTAAAGACCGTTTCTCCAAATATAATCACATTCTGAGGAACCGACAGGTAGGACTTCAGCATTCCTTCTATACACACTTGGGAGAAGCACAATTCAGCCCATCCCAGTCTCTATAAAGACTGTGTCTATAGGAAGGGGCCGTCATATATACCATGTAGGAAAACTTCCAATTCGCTTGTCGAACGCCTTTTTGCCCCACGCTCCCACTGTGAGCTTTAGTACATTTCCATATCCCAAGTAGTATCCAGATTTCTACCATCGAGCCAGCAAGGCGTTTGTCTACCTCCCTTCTCAAATCTTGACCTCCCCCTCTCTCTCGATTACACTCACACAGTATTGGCTGACCTTGAGGTCCAGCACATGGGCAATTCATGGATCATCCTTATGTGATGAAGACCTAATGACAACTCTGGGCACCGAAGCTTGGGTGAGCACTTCTGGTTGGCCATCCTCTATGCATATCGTCATGTGCCAATGACCAAAGGCTGAAGCGTCCTGACCACACAGAGAGAAGACAATGGACTCTCCATATTTTGTACCTTTCTGGACTCTGTTCCCTGGCGGATTCTTGTCTGTATCCATTCCTGGTAATAAACTATAACCATGAGTATAACAGCTTTTACTCAGTTCCATGAATCTTCCTAGAAATTACTGAACACCCGAGAGTTGTTTCAAGAACCCCCTGAACTTGTGCTTGTTATTGGAAGTGCGGGTAAGAGAGTGTGGCTAAAACTTTTTGTGTGTCATGACACTCATACTTCTTTTAGGTCAGCTCAGAAASAATTAGTCACAAGGGTTTTGAAAGAGGATACTCAAAATAATGAAAGGATACTATTAGAAATTGAGATGCAATAATTTTTTTTGGTACATCTGAAGGGAAAGAGAGTCCTCTGGCTTCCCTAACCCCTAGATTCAGAAACAGCATCATTGGTTATCATGAGATCAGAAGCTAAAATGTTCCAAACAAAGTGTAACCAATGTGTAACTCAGAGATCAAAACTGGTTATTTCAGAAAAAATCAATAAAATCAATTAATCTCTAACCATGTTGATCAAAACAAAAATATAGAAGACACAAAAACCAGTATCAGTGGGAAAAAAAGATGAGAAAATCATCATAGACCCTAAGGTAGGGAATAATGTAAAAAAAAAACTTATTTTCAAGAATAGTGCCAAGTAAATTTAGCAGGAAAAAGATCATCTTTTCACCACATGGTGCTAGAACAATTAGACAGCCATATGCACACAAAAAAGTTATCCTGTACTTCASACCATATAAAAATTAGCTTGAAATGGATCATAATATAAAAACAAGACCAAAAATGAAAAAGTATCCAGAATAAAAAACAAGGCAAAACCACGGTAACCTTTGATTCAGCAAAATGTTATGACACAGAGTATGAACTCTAAAAAATCAAAACAGTAGAAAATTTTAAAACTTTTGCTCTTAAAAAAATAATGTAAAAATTAAAAAGTCAAGTCACATGCCTGAAGAAATTTTTCAAAAAATATGRAGTTGTATGTAGAATATATCAAGAATGCATACAACTCAAGAATATGAAAGTAAGTCAATTTTTTAAATGGGCAATTTTTAATTTATGTAGATACTCAGCCAAGTAAGATATACACATGATAAATAAGCATCCATCCATCCATCTATCTATCTATCTATCTATCATCTAATCTGTAAAACATAGTTTTTGGAAAAGCTCATTTTAAATGAAAGTTTCTTTCAAGATAGTCGAAGAGCCAGTGGTTCTTTGGCTCTGAAGGTAACATGTAGTTTCAGTATTCAGTATTGACGTGTAGTTAAGTATTCAAAAC